ACTGGCCAGGAATTCTGGCTAGTTTCTGGCCAGTAATTGGCCAAGAAACATTGTACGGCCAGTATTTTCCGATTTTTTTACTAGACAGAGAAAAACTGCCCGGCGTTAACTAACCATTTTTATTGCCTACTTTCTGGCCAGTATTTTTCTCTCCGGTTTCTGAACAGTTACTGTCCAGTAAATCCTAGCCGGTAAAAACTTGCCGGTTCCCGGCTAGCGGCCGGTTTTTCCCGGAAATTTTCCTACTCGGGGATCTATTCGTGATTATGTGTGCAATGAAGTTTTATTGTCCGTTTTACATTCCGGCGAAGCGCAATTCGCCGGTGCTCCTCGCGATCGATCGCGACTCGAAAGCTATTCGCCTGCTCGGCACTTTCGTCAGGTAAAAGTCACCTCCCAGCCGAGAAATGCCGGCGCGCGTAACTATTGTCGTGCAGCCGGCACACGAGGGCGTGCAAAGAATAGTTGCTCGCGGGCAACTAGTTAACTTATGAGCGCGAGTATACCCGTCGGCCGGCATTGTATTAATGCTCGACAATGCAACCGGAGAAAAGGAAAGGAGAGGTTCGGCCGAAACCTCGATTCTCACGACCTAATTTTTTTCCACCGCTCGGTCACTCGGCAATTTACACGCGATAGTCAGCGCGCGAGTAAGAGAGAGAAAGATCGAGAGATTGCCCCTCGTCCACCTTGAGCGTTTTCGACCGGTCCGTATAAATACGCGTGTGTAAAAGGAGCTTAATGGCGAGTAAAAGGCACCGATCCGGGGAACTTACTTTCCATCTCGTCATTGTAAAATTCCGCGAAATTGCTTGACCGGACATCGCTTCCGGTATCGAGCGGACGTGAGCGAGAGTACGCTCCGGTAAATCCGGGTTCTGTCGAGAGCGCCGCGGTGCTCTCCGGTACGGTATTTAAACACATCCACGTGTATTTTGTGGGCAATATAACAAATTTATCCGGCGTATCCCAATCGATCGTACACTACGAAAATTACTCCGTCGATTAATAATTGGTGCATGCACATGTTATTATTATAATTACACGTGTTGCCGCGAATTTTAGTGTTATATAACACGATGACGGTGTGTATTCGCGGGGAACGGCGTGGTGGGCGTGCACGTCGCTTTACATGCTAATTTTCAATGTCAGTCTCCGCTGGGAACGTGCACAACGCCACGTATATTCGCGTATTGCTCCGTGCACCGGATACCTCGGGAGGAGGCTACAGCCTGTCGTGTTCCGTCCGCGGTATCCACTCGCGGTCGATACTTGCAACTTTTAAAGGATAATTCGAGTCTTTCTTAAATTTTACGATCTCATCGATCTGTTCTAAAACCGGCCTCTACGGGATGTGCAGGGAACTGTAGCTTTATCGAGACTAAACGATATTCGTCTCGGGATATCGTCGCTGACGCGTACCGAACACAAGTACCTCGAGGAGTCCGGATCGGCAGGCCGCGATAAATGGAACGCTCGAGTGAGCGGTAAACAACGCGCGGTTTCCCGGCGCGTGATTTCTCGCTTTTCAGCGGATGCTTCGCGAACGCATCTGGTTGCGGCCGGGATTGCGCCGAGAGAGGTGCGCGCCCCCGGTGCTCTCCTTATAATTACCGCCGGTGTGCCGATTATCTCTGCCGAGCTCCTCGATCCTTCAACACGCCGGTGTAACTCACGTAGTGCGCGCGCGCGCGGTGTAACTAACGGTACAGCTTCGCCTGAAAAGTAAACGGTTTCGTGCCGTTTCCCTTCCTCGCATCGAGCGGGCCGATCTACGCCGTTCTAATTAAACTGTTGAATTCGTGGCGGCCGCTTCCGCGGTAATCATAAGTCGATCGTAATCTCGCAATTAACGGTCGCGCGTGTTTCGCGCGCTCGCCGGCGAGCCTAGAAAACCGTAAAAAACTGGGAAAGCCGGGCGAGTGTGGCTCGGGCCCGGGAATTACGGAGTGCCGGAATTTCCAGGTCAGACGGCTTGAAATGAAACGGACGCTGTTCTAGACGATACACGTGTATCGACACAAACCTGACATTACAATCTCGTTAAAATAAGTTTGAAATCAAACGAGGATGGAAAATCTCGTTATCCGCTCTCCGAAAGTTCCACTCTCGACGAACAAGCTCGCCTCGTTTCCCATCGCTTATAATTAACGGACTACTACAGGTGGTCCCTAGATTTCGCCTTTACTTTTTCCTCTCCCCTTTCTCAATCGACTTCAGCCCTCCGCGTACAATGTCGGGTCTGTGTGAGACCCGAACGAATGTTCAATCGCTCACCAACTTTCGTAAAAAGCTTTCGGAGAAGTTTCCAAGTAGCGCAAATCTATTTGCAGATTCCTATTTGATTTAATTCTCTTTTCCTGTATCTGTGGGCAAAAAATGCATTGGAAAATATTGGTTTTCAACAAAGGCACAGTTATGACAGTTCAAAGGCGATGGGCCTGGCCCAGAGTGTACTGTATGCCCCATAAACTATAATTGTACGCGCGGGATTGAGTTGATCGGTGGGAATCGGTAAATAAGAAGCAGCTCGCGCGGTAGGCCCGGAACAGCTTTTATATGTCAGCTTGAACCGGCTCGAAGGAGCGAGCCTTCCGCTGCCTTCTCGCTCTAAGTGGCGCGACACATATGATAGCTGGTGCACGAGAAACGGGACAGCGAAGCGTGTGCTCGGGGAGGTGTTGCTTTCGAAATACCAGCTGGTACGTGCGTCATTCTCACTATGCCGGCCGACGCTCTGTGTGTGTTTCACTTTCGACTCTCGATGTGCCGCTCGCGCTGGAGCGGCTTAGCCGCGGCCTTGGCTACGTCGTCTCGCGCCCCCTCTCTGACGTCTCACACTTTTTGTCCTTCATACGATAGAGGCTCGAGAGGGCTACCCACCTTCTCCGAGAGCCCACTACTTCTAGCCGTGCTCGATGTTATCTCGAAAGCTATACCGTGCTGCGACGGAGAGATAGAGATAAAGAGAGAGAGAGAGAGAGAGAGAGAGAGAGAGAGAGAAAAAGAGAGAGAGAGTCTCTGGCAATACCGAGCCAGCACCTCACACCTCCTCCGCGTAACGACGACGTGTCTTTTGCACGTTGCTCTTGCCCGGACAAGCAGAGACTCGTGGCCGATCGAAACGAACGAAAATGAAATCGAACGTGCGAGCCCCGAAAGAATCGTTTCCCGTTGGAGGAACAGTTAGCTCCCGGAAGAGCAAGACGGGGATACGGGCTCGCCTTTGTCGTCAGTCCTTTGAAGCGATCTTTGCTCCTTCTCTTCAATATCTGACGTTGCCGTTAATTTTTAATTAATGCACAGCGCGTTAATAATGCATACGACCAGCTGGTCTGATCATTTATGCCGCCGGATAAAAATAATAGCCACTCGAACGTACCATTTTTTATTTAATATACATGCGATTAACATATTCCTACTAGTCGCGCCGGCCTTCGTTTTTAATGCACACGAGCGGCTGAATGTCACTTCGGCACAGGATTGACGCATACGTTTCTCATTGTAATCGAGCACGATGCACCATCACGTTCGAGCGCGGACGTCTTCTTTGTACGCGCCTCCGACTTCGTGTCGCGCCCTGCAAATTGCAGTCGTATCGGGATAAGAGGAGGAGACCGTCTCCAGTAGTTCAACAAGACACGCTCATTCCTAAAATACACAGTAATACGCAGTAATACTCGTCATACGCGGTTCACTCAGCGCACACTTCCTGTCGATTTGCGTTGAACACACGTTTCACTCGGTCAGCCCGTCTGGCCGGAGAAAGCACCGCGGTGATTGCAAGAAAGAGCGAATGAACGAACGACGTCGATCCGCAGTAACGCATACGGACATACGGCCGCGTATACTACGTGTGTGCAGTATTAACGCGGAAATTTATAGTCTTTCCTGGAAAAGCGAGACTACGTCGTCTATAGTTTCCCCTGCCGCGGATATTACCTACTGCCGGGAACGCGGTCGCCTCTGCTCTCCGAGTGAAACTTGGCGAGAGACCCGATGTATCATTTCGTGCGGTTTCAGGGAAACGTAATTCCAGAAACGCGCGTAACTTCGGCACCGATTATCCGCGTTGCTTGGGACTCCCGGGCTCTCTCGGAGAGAATTACTTCGACACTTTGTACGCCGGTGTTGTACTGTTTTCGCAACCTACCGTTACGCCACTGCTCGAGGCGTTGCCATCTTCGAGGTCGTCAGATCGACAGGTCGATCGGCTCGTTTTAGTCTCTTTCCTCGTGGAGATTATTAGTTCAGTTATTCATCGAAAAAATTAGCCGGCTGCTGTCTGGCTGAGCGGCTCGGATGTGATACACACACGGAGCAAAAAGATCGAGGCAACGTGTACGGGAAAAAAAATTTCTTTAGATTAACCGAATGTCTGGTGAAACGAGCCAGACATTCCGATTGAAATTACCAGGATTTTGTTCGAGTTAACAGGATTTCTAATTAACAGTCGCAAGTTCTGCTTAGACATCTTATTGACTTGAACCGAATTCTGATAACTTCAACCGGAATCTCTGGCTTGTTCATATTTTATCAAATATTTGATTAATCCAACCAAACTTATTTTCCCTTGTTACATGGTACAACTAATTGTGTTTTGGTTGAAGGGAACAGAATTTTCGGTTCTCGAGAATCGAGTTTGGCTCACAGGAAGCAGAAATTCTGGTTCTTAAGAAGCAAATTTGTTTGATAAGAAGCAGAAATTCGCTCGACTCAAAACGCGTGTGTTAACTTCACCAGTCTTTCTTCTCCGTGCATATTTCGCAACGCGAAGACTCGAGGCATCCCTCTTCTTCTCTGTCGGTCGATCATTGAGAAGTTTCGTAGCTTCTCTCGAGTGAGGAGGCGTCGCATGAATAAGATTGCGATTTATATAGCGGATGTGTTCCTGGCAAGCTATACCGTCGATGGGTCGCGTTTGAACTCGGAATGATCGCTCGCGAGTTCGTACGTCGTGCCGTACGCGGAACTATAGAACGTGGTAATCTATGTTTCAGATCCAGGAAACGACGGCCGAGCACGTACAATGATTCCGAGCGGACAAGCAGTGGTTGGAGCGAGAGAGTTATATACAGACGCTTTCGCGACACTGATTTCATGGACGACTGCACTGCCGCCCTGGTCCTTATGTCGCTCTCGGGCTCGCCTCAGAGTCCTGAAAACCTGCCACCTCACTGCCACCAATTGTATGACTACGGTTAGTATCTATCCCGATATTCACAACGCAAGATATTTCGATTCTTCCAAGATTTATCAGGTTAACACAGTTATCTCTCCGAGATTTCGCGACTTGAGATTTTTCTTCTATTCTCATATAATATATTAGATTCCCAAATAATATAATATAGATTTATATTAAGATTTTTGTTTCGTTAGGGTTAGGTTAGTTAGGCATTAAAATAAATTACAAAGTTGCTTCATTATTTAGTCGCCAACATTATGCATATTTGTTTTTTCTTTGCATGCTGGTATAACCAAAGTTACCATGGTAATAGATAAAATATTATTATTATATTTGGCTACACTGAGAAAAAAAATTTACTAAATTTCAAAAAACGTTTGTTTAGTACTGTGAAGATATTTGTTTAAATTAAATAATTATTTTCTAAAATTAAATAAAGAAGTTTTAAATATAAATTTGTTTCTTTAATTTTAGAAAATAATTACTTAATTTAAACAAATATCTTCACAGTACTATCCAAACAAATATTTTTTGAAATTTAGTAAATTTTTTTCTCAGTGTAGTGTAAAAGATTTTTCTATTAAATTCTCGTAGGATATTTGGATAATTTTATATTCTATTTTGGCGCAACGCATAGTTTTTTATCTTGTTTTTTATCTTGTTTATGAAAAAAAAGTTTGGTCAGATTAAGCAAATTGTTAACTTGAACAGAATTCTGGTAACATTAACCAGAAATTTTCTGTTTATTCGTATTTCATTAGAAATTGGTTAATCCAACCAAACTTTTCCTTTCGATAAAAACACGACAAGCCTTTTGGTAGCAACCTAATATCAATAATATTTGTTTTTAATTAACTAATCGTCTAAATTGACTAACCCATTTACTAATCCATTTATCATTACACGTAGTACGAGGCGTAACGCAGAATCGGTGCACGCTAACATGCCTAATCGCGTACCTAGAGCGTTTTCGAACGCTCTATCAGTCGAAAGTTCGCGCCGCCGCAATCGATCATGATGGTCGATCATGGCGAAGTGATAAGCCTGACGTGCGCATTCGATTCGCGCTAGGTTCATGGGGAAGCAGCATGGTCGCCGGTTCGCCGGGGGTCGGCGGCATGTCAAACAGCAGCAGCAGCAGCGGTGCTTCCTGGCGAAGTGGCACCCCCAGCCCGCCCCTCTTCGAGGAGGGTGTACCGTCGAGGAATTCCCCGTGCCCGGCGACAGCGCACCCGTCGCACAATCAAGCGCACTACGCGTACAACGCGTCCGGCACACCGGGCAGCACCCCCGGCGGCACTCCGATCATAACGCTGGACGAGGGAATAGTCCCCGATTATATGGAGGAGCAGCACCCACGTAAGAAGGTGAGCAACCTTTTCTGCCCGGCGATGTTCGTTCACCTCCGCGGCCACGGCGATTCGCCGTCGATCCAACGTCGCCACGCTTTTCGTCAATATTACGTCGCTCTCGATGCTTAATAGGTTATGGAGCGTCTAGAGTTCTCTTTCAGAAATTTATTTCAAACTCCTACAATTCACTGTTTCGTTCTCTTTCTCTCTCTCCCTCCCTCCCTCCCTCCCTCCCTTCCTTCCTTTCTCTCTTTCTGGCTACTCATCCGTCTCTTTCTACGACGATCAATTAACACGTCCGATAAACGCGCACGTACAACGGACGTAACACACAAGACCTGTCTCGCGTATATCTCATTGGGCAAGCGTGTTTACCTGCGCACGATATGCAGTAACATCGGCGACTTCCGCGTCCTTATCAAACGCCACTGCCGTGACCTTTGAGAAACTAGTTTTCAGAGTCGCGTGTTCGCACCACTTTCAGCAGGCGGTGCTGCTGCCCTCCGCGTCCGCAGTCTTTGAAAGTCTTCATTGACCTTAATCTCCGTGAATAAATGTATACTCGCGCATCAACGCGCGCGCCCAATTCAGCTTGCCAAGTCTCTAGACGAAGACAAATGATTTTTATCAAAGTCAGCTCTCTCAACGTCGACAAGCGAGGGGAGTACCTCGCCTCGCTCGTGCCATTGTCGCGCGTCATAGAATCGTTATTGCGCGTTCCGTACAATCTGCCGACATTCCGACGTTGCATTAATTCAAGTCGAATGTCGCGATTTCAGGAATGCAACCTTGCGTCAATCTCTGCCCGTCTGTACTCTCACACGTGCACGAGAGAAGGAGAGAGAGAAAGAGAGAGAGAGAGAGTACGACAGGGAGCGACAGAGCCGCGAATGCTGACACGAGCTGGCGAATGTTTTTATTGACAGGATTTTCGTATCTTCGCACCGGTGACGTAAACTATGACGGTAGTTTTCAGGCTTACGCGTGTCGGAATTACGAGTGACCTTCGGGATAGAATACAAGTTCGCCGTGATAAAAATGATGTGGCCTTCGAGACACAGAGCGAGCGAGCGAGCGTGCGTGCTGTGTCTCCGAGATTAATTCTTTCCGCGTCCCGGCGCGGCAGTGTGTGGTAGTTTAATTAACGTCAACGAATACGATAAATCTATTGCGTAAGAAATCGGCGTGGGGTATTGCTGAACCTTGCATACGCACGCATATCGTTCGGTCCGGATTAGATTGGATTCGCTTCCTGGCTGTCTGTCGTTGCCGCTTCTGTATACGGCCGATACAGGGACTTGTTGGATCCCGTCCATTGATAGACTATTCAAACACCTACGTCCTCTTATACAATAGGCGATGTAATTTTAGTGAGCTCGCTTCCCGATACGGAGCAAAGAGACGCGGAAAAGCGTATAAGTGTCGATTATTGCGCCAATTGTCGCGTTATCGCGAATAAACATAGATATCTTTCTCTCTTCACGAATGACAGCGACGAAATCGTATCGATTGTAGATTCTGTTCACGTATTATCTGAGAATGCGCGCCATACACACGGAGAAAACTGCTATGGTATTTATGCGGTAAATTCCGTGTCCACATTATCTATGTGGTTAAGAGAGAAAATTTATATAATTTCGAGTTAAATGGCATTAAAGGTGTTCCTATTATTATATGCCTACTTGTACAGCTCTCATAGTCAGAATTTTTATTCGTACATTTAGTTTACTATATTCTCATATACAGTTGCCCACTGAGGGAACGTTGCTATCTCTCTGTTGTAATTTACAGAACAAATATGCTTGAGAGGTAGGGTTTGGTTATACCACATAGTATTGAGAGTACCGCTCAGACATGTATACTAAGAAGATAATATTCGAAAATTTATTTATGGAGGATATAAAATTTATTTCCGCGAAAGATAACAGAGAAGAACAGTGTGCTATTTCCAGAGTATTATGGTTACTACAATTTATGTGCGTGGGCGAAAAAGAACATTAATATTTTGTTATGGCAGCCATATTTAAGCAAATGATATCCTTGGTGTTATCTTCGTGGCGCGAACCGCCCTTTAACTCGCGTGTTTCTTTCGCGAGTTAAAATTCGAAAAATTCCGAGGCGTGAATCGCCACCGCTGTCGCCGCTTTCGAAACGGAGAGTCGATGCGGATTTAAGTCACGCTGCTGAGGAAGAAAATTTTCTATAGACTGCGTCGATCGACATTCCTCGGCGACGCGTGACGCGTGCTGTTTTCGTGATCACGTTGTACTAATTTTCTCTTCTCTCGTACGGATGAGCCAGTGAAAACACGCAGTCGCTTTCGGTCGTTTCGTAACGTAACGCGGCCGATTTCCATGTAATGTAGTGCAAGCAGCCAGGAAGAGAATGGGACGTCACGCGTAACGTAACCGTCTTCGAAATCGTAACATTCGGGTAACACCTATTTCCGCGTTAGGAAAGCTGACATTTAATATCTCTTTTGCGCGATCTTTCAGTAAAAAGAATGAAAGTTCGGGAAAGTAACGGAGATATGTAATATCGTTGCGTCAGTATGTTATCTTTTGCGGACTAAGAAATATGGTTTTCAAGTACTCAAATAACGACTAGTTTTTTTACAGTATTTCCTTAATGTACAAGCTGATAAATCACGTCTATAAATTTGAAAACTAGAACCATTAGCGATTAACGACCTATTTTTATCAGAGCAGTCAAAACGACAGAGTTTTGAAAAATACGTAATACAACGAAAGAAATGTTTATTCCCTATTTTTAATTCCATTCAATGTCCATTAATAATGCGTATAGCCATATTTTTTGAGACACATAGTACAATCTGGGCCTATTAGATCCGGGAAACTTTGAGGTACCATAAATTTGTTGAAAATCAATATTTTTGGACAGATTTTTTTCCAGAGATATAAAAAAGCCTCAGTTATGAGACAGTAGCGCTAGCAAATCAAAATCTTCAAACAAGTTTGCGCTATTTTGAAATTGTCTCAGACGATTTTGTGAAAGTTGCTGAGCGACTCAATCGGATCTCACAGACCTAATATATTGCACACAGAGGGTGAAAAGTACAAGATTATCAGTTCGCATAATTTTTAAACGAAATTACAAACCTATCATTTTGACTGCTTGGGTAATTGCGTGATGTTAAGGATCCGACGTGCAGTCGTTCCACGTGCAAGTTTCGCGGCCGTTTCTTTCCATGCATCGTCGCGGCTTGTCACAAAATTCGCATGGGAACAGATGCCCGATTCTACATATCGCGCTGGCAGTGAGGTCGATACGCGACGTCCCTGACCGGTCAGGGATGCAGGCGAGGAAGCCGAGGTGGCGGCGACGGCGAGCACAGGAGTCCTCTTGGTGTCGCGTGAGCCAAAGCCGCGCGGTACATGATGATGACATAAGTGCAGCCGCCGCCGCCACCGTCGTCGAGCCAAGGATGTAAACACGCGTGGCGATTTTTCGGTATTTCGTAAGACGGCTAACACAAACCGGACCTTGAGGTATTATCGCCCGGCGCTAATCTTAGGTACGCGGCCGCGCGCTCCCTGCTCTCTGCACGGGAAATCGCGCGTCGGCGCGTCGCTCCCGAAATAGCCGCTAAAAAGGCGGCCGGCCGACCACCGCGGCAGGCCTATGCGAACCTCGCTCTCTAAATGCACGTCCTACTGTCTTTTTCCAGATCCGAGCGAAAGTCAGGCAGCAGGACCCGATCGAGAACGGGCCGAGCGGCGCCTGGGACAGCGAGCAGGTGAGCGATACTCTCGTGCAATCGCACCAGCTTTAATCCTCGCGAAATTTTACCGGTCTTAATCATCCCGGCAAGAAGACATTGTCATGTCTTATTTTCATTTGCGTAATTAAGCAACGCTTGATGTTACCAACTTTAAGTGTCAGCGCGCCAACACGCTCCTCAATGTCTGGCAATTCTACACGGAGAGAATTTTATACAGAGAATTACTACAGAATTTTGCAACTGAGAGGAACAGATCAGACATTCTGCAGCAGCGAATTGTTCTTTCGTATGTCTAGCTTATTTTTGAGGAACTGAAATGTACTGTTAAAAAATATGCTACGTTTTTAACGAAATTTACCATGTTCCTCAACAAAATAAACTGTACAGATTCTACTGCTGTATCATTAGAAACCTAACAAAATTGCAAAGAATTTACATGTAAAAAAGAGCTATAATATTCTCTCTGTGTAAATCAGAACCCTTTCGTCTCGCTTGCATGTCTGTCGTGTATTCCGGGTTATTTTCGTGGTATTCCCGAGGAGATCCTCGAGAAACGCCTCGCGATATACGATTTGTACTCCAGATACTTGACTATTATTACGCCCGTTATCCGAATCGTAACATTGAGAAAAGATAAGTAATCTCGCGCGTGTGCCGCAGGATGTTTCTTCTTCCCGCGGATCAGCTCGCGGATCAGCTCGCGGATGATTGCGGGTCGAAACGTCGGTGTTTTAGAGAACGAAAAAACCGGGAAAATTTTGATCGCGAACGGTGGAAACGTCTTTTCAAGCGATCGGTTTTCCCGTGCGGATGCAACGACGGAACTCTTCGTTATCGAAAGCATCGTTCGTTGGCAGCGCGAGCGGTCTCCGCGAGTAAACGCGACCCGAGTCTATCGCCACCACTACTATTACCACCACCGGCACCTCCACCCGCACCACCACTACCACCACCGCCAGCTCCACCACCGACACCACCACCACCATCGCTCCTCTCGGATCAATATTATTCGTAACCCAGTTTACCGAAGGTTCCTACTTTCACCGGCGGTCGAGAAGCGGCGGTCAGCTTAAAGTCATTCATCTCGATTCAATCGGAGTCAATAATATTGTCGGAGAGATGAGGGCGCCTTCCATCCGCGATTCCGCTCGTAGATGATCGCTCGCTGATCCGGGCCCGGCGTGATAATTCGCGCGAGGCCTACCGCGCGGACTCGACTTTCACTAGGCGAACGTGCATGTGTACGCGCGCACGTGTGTGCCTAGAGCGAGCCCGTGGACTACACAACGTCCCGCTTTCCGAGGACGTGGCCTCTTTCTTTCGGATGTCTTCGGACGCTCCGCGTGTTCCTCACATCCGCCTTTGATAGTCCCCGTATCGGCGCGCTTCGATCGCCGGCAGCACGCGATTGAAAAGTCGGATGACGCTGCGAAATGTCGGTAACGCGCGCCGTTTTCGCGCCGTCTTTTCTCGCGTCGATGCCCCGGCCGAACGCGGTCCGAACACCACTACCGTTAATCGCGCTCGCCTCGTGCCACCGTCGCCGCTATTCGTTCGCTGAATAATGGATGGCGGAAAAGGATTTAAGTAAGACACAATCTCTCCGCGCGGAAAGAGTTCCCTTCTAAATTTCAACGGCCCGCTCTTGTGTCTCTCTCGCGCACAGGTCGCCCGGGGTGTTCTAGTTTTGTTCCCTCTCTCCCCGTGAGAGGAGGAAAGACGGTCACCCTGTATACACCCTTTTGCCTCGTGCGTGTCCGCGCACCTGACCCAATTGACCGCGCCACGAGATATCTCTCCATGAGACGCGAGATCGTCGACGTCGCGCTTCCTAGATCTCTCCCGTCGTCATCTCGTCGCTGGTCATCGCGACAGGTCAGTCGAACGAGATAGGCGACAGAGAGATAGATAGAAAGAGAAAGAAAGAAAAAAGAATTTATTGATTCCTGTGTGAGGTCCTTTAGGACTACACACAACAATTTTTTTAGGAAAAATGGTATACAGTATAAAACGCAATATCGCAATAAAAATGAAGGAATTAGAGAGAGAGAGAGAGAGAAACAGAAACAAACGGTATACACCGTTCCCATATCGCGCCGCATCCATAAACGGCGATCCCCGATAGGCGTGGGGAGCAAGGGGGAAAGGGACGGCCAGGAAGTGCTAGTCGAGTGTTGCATTGTGGAACAACTGCGACAGAGTACTACACTTCCTTTTCCCCTCGCCCGCTCCCTACCCGCGTCCGTCGCACGCGCACACGTGCACATATATATATGTATCCACGTGCACAGTGCCGTAGCCGCGTGAGCGACTTTGCGAATAATGCACCGAAGGATGACATAGGCTGTGCTTCGAGCGTCACGGGATCCCCTTCGTATCTCTGTCGTGCGATTTCACATTGCGGCTGGTAAAGAGGGACGAATGGGGTTGGAATTGCCGCGGAGGTCTCCATGGTAGACGCCACGACGATCTGACAAATTCTGCTGAAGTCTTGCTCGTGAAAAGGGGAAGATTTTCAGTTGCCGGCACTCTATCTGCTTTCTCTGCACTCTTGCGCGGATGTTGTCGGGTATTAAGATGTACACGAGAAGAAAATGAATAAGTAAATAATCATATAATTGATAAATAATTGACAAATCTTCGTACATCCTTTGATACTTGATGGAACACCTGAGCGAGGGTGTCGAAAACTGGTGAGTGCTGTAACGAGTGCCGACTACCGAACGTTTTCCCTTGTCTCTCAAATGAGAACTCGCGATCGATCGTAGATTCTCACGTCGGTACGGTTATGTGAGTCTGCACTGAGAGAAAAAACATGATAGAACCAAATAAAATTATAATTACTTTTTGCGCTAACTATATTTACTGGCTGTTCTAACATAAAAAATATGGTGATAGCAACACGCGTATAGTTATCATCGCTAACATTAGAGTAGAATTTAATAAGACAAGAATATTTTTTACCATAATTTGTAGTAATTGTTTTTCCATGTGCGATTAGAATTGTAAAAAGCAAACATTTTTTTCTCGAACATTTCCCTGTGCATTGCGATTCGTGTACGGCTTCTCCGAGCGATTAAGGAGATGGTGTTGAGGAAATGAAGGTCGAAATCCACGCGAATTGAATTCCATTGAAAGGTCACGCACGTGCGCGTATCTGCGGATTAATTTTCACGGTGAGCCCCGCTCCGGAAGCTGGTCCTCACGGATTCGCCATTAGGTCATCGTCTCATGTTATGCGAACGACCGTGACGAGAAGTCGCGATCCAAGTTTAAATGTCCCATTGTAGCCGGGCCATTCATCCGTCCGGCCATCGGTCAGCCGGGGAACGCGTGTCGCGATCGAAGCGACCGGTTCCCCGGCCGGCTCGACAGGATCTAGATCCGCGGCGCATCTCGACGACGACGATGACGACGAATTATCTCGTCCTCGTTTTCCACCTCATTTTTTCCGGGAAAAATTGCCGAATCTGCAAGAGAACGAAAGCTCGGTTTACACCGATGGCGCACGCGCGCGCGCGCACCGGATTATCCTCGGCCTGCTGGCGTACGCCCGCACATGGACCTAGATCTCTCAGAGAACGGCGCACGAGGACCGGCGCCGTTGGTGCATCGCGTCGCAGTGCACACCACGTTGTGACGTCACCGCGAGCGGCACGTGCCCCTTCCCCTGCCCGCGCCCCCCGGTGCCCTCGAATGCGGCATTACTCGGCCGAACGGGTGGGACGGAACACCGAGGGGGAGGAGGGGGGGAGGAGGGGGGGAGGAGGAGGAGGAGGAG